TGTATTTAATAGTACAAATATTTTTTCAAGTTTCCATATAAAATTCAAAACAAGATGAAACAGAATCGTAAAGCAGCCTGTAATGCTTTTACTTTGTTCAAATGAAATGTTTCATCTTTAGTGACATGATTACAAGGATGAAAATTGTTGACTGTCCTAAATCAAAAGTTTTCTGAAAACCTAACTAATAATTCCAGTATTTGTTTTTTCTTTTGGATTCAAAATATACCTTACCTATCACTCCTGCCCCTCTCCCACACCCCTCCAGTTTTGTAATTTCCTGTAGAAGACAAATTCTACTTTCTATTCACTAAGCAGTTTGGTTGGTTGCCAAATTATTCCACAAGCTCTTCATGCTATCTGCTAATTAACTTATTTCACAATGTTATTTGCATCAGTTGTAGAAAAGTATCATCTATACCATTTTAGTTGTCTTAGATTTGCTGACTCTTTTGTTTCCTTTTCTGTCTCTTGTCCTTCATTCCTCTATCAGCCTATCCACAACTCTAGCTAAAAACTTCCCAAGACAAGCTGATTGACTTCTTGAGTCTTTTGTTCTACTGCTTTCTACAGTAAGTACTGGAACAAGTTACCCAGAGAGGTGGTGGAGTCTCGATCCCTAGAGGTTTTTAAGACCAGGCTTGACAAAGCCTTGGCTGGGATGATCTAGCTGGCGCTGGTCCTGCTCTGAGCAGGGGGTTGGACTGGATGTGACCTCCTGAGGTCTCTTCCAATCGTAATTTTCTATGTTTCTGTTATTCTACATAAAGCTGATATTCATTCCTGACTATATAATCAATGCCAAAATGCCTATATACATCAGTGGAAACAAGCATTTCCTGACATTTGCAGAGGCATGGAGTAGATTTGCTGGCTACTAACATACCAGTGTACTAATGCTTTATCTTTAGATTTTATACTTACTGTTTCAGACAGGTTTTTAATATCTTTACTGTACCATTTTGCGTCTGTTAAATAAGAGAACTAAAAGTTGAACTTTCAATTAGTCAGTAGAATGAAATATTTTAAAGTTTTAAAAATGTTGAAACAACTTTACTGAAAGATTTGTTTTGAAAGTCTTTAGTGAAAGGCTGAAACATTTTGTTTCCATTTTATCATTACAACTTTGTAACAGTATAGCATTACAGCATAAAGTAATACTGTCAGATTAGCAAGAGAAAGCCTTACTATTTGGTCAGGTATTCAGCAACCAAAACTAGCAAGATGTTACTTAGTGGGTCTCTTCTTTCTTCTGTTTTATTCTATTATTTTGTTTCATTTATCCTGGTTGCCCTCTTAAATTGTTCTCTCTTGCTATAAACCACCCTGAGCCTCTTTTGGGAAGATGACATATGATTTTCATAATTTCATAAATAAATAAATATATAATTATTTTGAACTTATGAAAACAACCTGCTAATATTTCGTTTTAAAGGTTCCTGAAAACAATACACACTTTTTTTGGCATGGAAACAAAATTCATAGTTTTACTAGACACCAAAATCCAAAGTACCTTCATGGCTCACTGTAATGTACCCTCTGCTAGGGTAAGTTCCCCCTGCTAGCCTCCCTTTACTCCACAGGTCATATTGCCTCTCTCCATTTTGAATTGTCTAATTCTTCTATATCAGTAGATATATCTTTGTTAATTGTTCTTTACTTGGCCTGTAATTACTTGTGTCGACTTATTTTTGCTCCATACGTTTACTGTTCCATTTCCTTCTAAAGTAAGCAGATTCATTTGCACAACAGGATTAAACAAAGGTAAGAATTTACCTGGTATTTCAGCTTAGACCGTATCTTCTTCTTCTCCATAGTGGGGGAAGAGCACTATATGTCCAAAATGTATTTAAAGCTCTTCCAATTATATAATCGGTCCACAAGAGTAAGACATTACCAACCACATCTTTCTTTTCACTTTGTTAGACTAGCATCTAGTGAACTGTAGGATTATCTACAATTTTATTTTATAAACTGCCATTGCAACTACCCCTTACTTCAGTATAACAACTCTTAAATTATAACAGATAAATGATCTCTTGAGGTCCCTTCCAGCCTTACTTCTCTATAAAACTATGGCGAATGTTTAGTTTGTTTTGTGCCATTTCAAATGCATCTGTGGTGTCCCAAAGTGTGAGCAAACACACATTCAAGCCCTTTGTGACATAATAAGTACAAGAAAAACATCACAAAGTGGTGCCTTTCCGGTTGAGATTTATCTTGGGAGAGTGATATCTTTTACAGGAAGATTCTGTGCCTGCTGCATGGAGATATCACTGTCCTCCAGCATCCCACTATGCATCACTCCCTGACCCCCTCCTGCTCCAACGCCTGTCCCTCTGTCAAACTAGAACTGCACTGCATTCAGGGGGTGGTGCCATAGATCCTATAGCATGACCCCCAGCACCCAAGGAGTATGATTATGGCCCACATATCATTTCCCCTATTTGCCCCATAATAGGAAAGATCCTTGAAATGTCCAGTCTTCCCATGCTTCAATTTCCTTCACGAGCTAAGCTTGCCAGCCCCCCACCCCTAATGACTTGTTCCCCGACAAGCAAGAGGCAGGCTGAGGCAGTGTTATCAGCAAGGCAGGCAATTGGCATTTTGCTCTGTGCTGTTCTCAGGAATTGATGGAGCTGGGGAATCTCTGCAGCATGGCAGACACACTGGGAACACACATATGTGACTTCTCTGTAATGGGAAGATCTAGGATTCTGAAAAGAGGGGTTCAGATAGCCTGGTGCATAATCACATACAATACAATAGATACTCTTGTCCAGTTATAAAGAAACTAGACATTTTACTGCTATGTTAGGGGCTATAGTATTCATTTCAAGATTGATGCAAAAAACCCAAATTTGTTTTGGAATATGCATTAATTTGCTAGATTATATATTAAGTTTAAAAACCATAAAAAACTAGACAAAAATAATCAAAAACTGTTGCTTCATTAGTCCTGTAGGCATTAGAGTTAAATGAACATCTCTTCTTCAGATTTGTAAAACACAATCTACCCTTCTTGAGGAGCTTGACAGTGAGTGCGCCTACATGTGTCATTTCCTGCACAGTAATATAGGTTACTGCACAGTCCGGGCACATATCTATACATGTATGGCTGTACTTTCCAGTAACTATGGTGACTTATGCTGATTTAGGCATAAATTTGAAACCTGCATCATGCAGATATCAAATTTATACCTGGTTAATTACTGCGCAGTAAAGCACATGTAGATGCCTTACTGAGCAGTAACACTGTGTGTGTGGACTGACTTGGAACTAAATCTAGCATTTCAAATTTAATTTCAGTTTGAAACTGCTGTTCCATTTCGTTTCATTGAAACTGTTTTGACACTGTTTTGACGTTTCACCCATACACTATAATGGGAAAGCTCAAAACAGCCTCTCTCATCCAGCAGACAGATGGGGGGCCTGCAACCCCAGGAGGGCTGCAGGGGATGTGCCAGACCTTCTGGGGCTGCGGGCCCCCGATCTGCCTGCCAGAGGAGGGAGGGAAGCCGGGTGCTCCTGCCTGGGACCAGGGAGCTGGGGAAAGGAACTAAGCCCAATCACTCAGTTCCCCTCCCCAGTGCTATGATCCATCAGGCTGAGCTGGGCTGAGTTCCTTTCTCCAGCCCAATCATAGCACCAGGTATAGGAACTCAGCTCAGCTGGGTGAGTTCTTTTCCCCTGCGCTGTGATCAGCTTCCTGCAGCCTGGCCACAGGAGGCACGGAGAGCTAGGGTTGCACTCCTGGCTGAGCCACGTGAGTCTGCGGAGCCACTGGGAGCATAGCCCTGTTTCTCCCCTGTCTCCCACCACCTGGCTACTGGCTGTTTCAAAACTCAAAATGTTTTGAAACTTTTGAAATGTTTCAACTAGCCTCATTTTATTTCAAGGCTGTATTGAAGCCCTTTGTTTCAATTTGATTTCACTGTTACGAGCTCAAAATGAGTTGAAACATTGTTGAATTAAAACAGCTGGCAAAATTTTGCACAGCCATACCACTTATTGTGCAGTAAGTTACAGCACAGTAAATGCACATATAGATGCACCCAGTACATCCAGTGCTTGACTGAAAGTTATTTCCACACTTCAGTTAACATTCACCTGAGTGAACGCTTCTATCTAGAGTTAAAGACAGTCTGCATGCTTGTGAAACAGGAGCTCCATTACCAGGAGCCACTAGCAGACAGCAGAATGGTAGAAGCAATGATAGGTTAATGAGTGGAACATAAAGACCATTAAAACAGAGAGAGGGTCATTAATATCCATGGAATGACAAGTTTAGAAGGAATAAGGTTGATTAAAATGAGCCATGAAGACAACTGACTTCCTTACTGCTGCCTGAACAGAAATGCTGCTGCTTCTGGCAGGCCTTTGTTTTTAAATTTTGGGTGGAGTAGGAATCAAAGGTGTGGAGGGGAGGGGGAAACTGCAACACCACATTGCGCCCTCCTACCCTGCATATGCACCCCTGGCTCATGATACAGCTAAGCTTTGCTATAGCACAAAGTTGCACACATTTGAAATAGCCCAAATTGAACACGTTTCAAGCATCTTACTGACTTCAGTAAATTAAGCTGAAGCTGAGTGAGAGGAGCATTAGCCCCATTTGCTCCAGTGGAGCTGTTTGTGATTTACATCAGGGTGAGTGAGAGGAGAATCAGCCCCATTGCAAGAGAAAAATCCAGCTCTTTACCTATTCCTCCCAGCATGGGAAAGGAGGAGCTCTCTGGATATGAATTAGACAAAGCGCCTTCTTGATGGAGGGTGATAGGCTTTGTAAACAGCTCTTCTGATAAACTGTGCATATAGATATTGTCTTATGATGAAGTCATGTGACCCCTGCTACAGATAATTGTCATGTGGATTGTCTCTGTCTCATTCCCAGAGTCTCTATGGATTGCATTGCATGTGTCTTTTGAAAGCAGCCTGGTGATGTGAGCTCAGGGAAGATAACATTGTCCACAACAAGTTGTCCCTTCTTCTAACTGCATTCCAACGGCACCATGGAAAACCACACAGAGGTGACTGAGTTCATCCTGGTAGGGTTTGAAGGCCAGCTAAAGCTTCAGATCTTCCTTTCTCTCCTATTCTTAGCTCTATATATTGTTACCTTCTTGGGGAATGCCGCCATGATCATCATCATCACTGTTGACTCCAAGCTCCACACTCCCATGTACTTCTTCCTGAAGAACTTGTCCTTCCTAGACCTCTGCTATTCATCTGTCATTTCTCCCAAAGCCCTTCTGGCATTTTCACTTGGGAGCAAAGCCATTTCCTTCAATGGCTGCGCAGCCCAAATGTTCTTCTTCTCTCTCTTTGGGACCACGGAGGCATTCTTCCTTGCTGTGATGGCATATGATCGTTTCATTGCTGTCTGCAGCCCACTTTTCTACCCAGTCACCATGTCCAGAAAGGTTTGCATTTGCCTGGTGGTGGGCTCCTACCTCTTAGGCTGCATCAATTGCACCATCCAGACTAGCTTTACATTTAGCTTGTCCTTCTGCGGGCCCAATGAAATCAATCACTTTTTCTGTGATGTCCCTGCAGTGATGCAGGTATCCTGCTCAGATACTTTCATTAATGAAATGGTGATGCTAGCAGTGTGCGGGTTCATCATAGTGACTACAGCACTGGTGGTCCTCATCTCCTATGGCTACATCATCACCACCATTTTGCGGATACCGTCTGCCGATGGAAGACGCAAAACTTTCTCCACCTGCACTTCCCACATTGTGGCTGTGGGTTTGTTCTTTGGGACAGTCTTCTTTATGTACAGTCAACCTGGGGCTACATCTTCCCCTAGTCACAGCAAAGTAGTCTCAGTTTTCTATACTGTTGTCATCCCCATGCTGAATCCTGTCATCTACAGCCTGAGGAACAAGGAGGTGAAAGAGGCCCTAAGAAAACAACTGAAAAACAGGTATTTTTCTAGTTACCTCCCTAAAGGTCTGAACTTTCACACCAGCCAAGTTGGCATAAGAGAGGCACTTGGGATGGATACCAAAGGGCATCAGAACCAGGAGATTTAAATCAAGACTAGAAAGAGGAGCTGCCCACAACCTGGAGAGAATGTGATTGAGATGTTGGATGATCATTCCTTACTCAACCACAGGTTCCTTCTGTACAAGCAAGTCAGTCCAGCAGAGAAAGGAATGGATCTGGGTACCTAATTCTCAATTATTTTAATAGACACACTGGGTCTAATACTTTGTTCTTAGAACAAAGCCAAGATGCAACCTTTCTTCTGGTTTGTAGATTTAGACTATAATTCCGTAATTATATAATCTATAATTATCACTGTCTTCTAAATAATGCTCATGTGATAAGCCTAAACCTTGAGGTGCCTGGATATTTGCAGTCAAACAAGCAAAATGTGAGGGAGCAGAACCACATAATTCTACTTTCTCTCTTCATTATTTCCATTTCATAGTCTCAAGCTTCTACTCACAAATATGTGGCAATGGAGCCCTACCTCCACTGTCCCAATGAACCTGAGTGACCTGTAAACCAGACACATTTACCTTTACCTCTACAGATCAAATTGGTAAAAACTGGTAAAAAATTGATAATATACTCCTAAGTCACTTGGACACCTTAACATTTAATCTTCTGTTATTATAGAGGTCATTGGTTAGAGCTATATGAACACTGTTCATAAAAATGTTTTGCAAAAAAAAAAAAATAGACTTTGTTTTCAGAAAAAGGTCTTGCTTTCACTGACATTGTTGCCTTCCCCATTTCCTCCCCACAAGATAAATAAGTAAATAAATCTGCAAATCTCTAAGATTCCTAGTTTTAAACTGCTGGAAACAGAAATGTTTCAACCTTCAGATATGTTCTTTTTTTTCCAATGGGAACATGACTGTCTTTATAGGAAATACATGGAGATTTTAAGATTATTTTTTCTCACCATCCAATCAGTAATACAGGACATCACATATATTTACTGTGGACGGTGGTTTTACTGGCAAAATGATCCTTGCATACTCAACTTTAATTGTAAGCGTAATTTCTCAGTGTAGTTGTATATAATTTGTTTTACAGCTCAGATACCATAAGGGTATGATTTTTTTTCAATGAAGTCCAAAAGAATTTGAAAATTTCTCCCTTGAATTTATTTAAGGGAGCATGGTTCTTTTCTTACAAGAAGTAATTGAATTAATCAAGAGGAATTCTGTTCCCTAGCTGCACCATGTACCAAAAGCACCCTCTGCAAAAAGCTAGAGCCAGATGTTCTCTTTTGTACTCTCTCTCTGTACCCCATCAATCTTGCACTGTTTCTGCACAGTGTTCTGGCTTCAGCAAGAGTGTAGAGAAAGATGCCATCTCTTCTTTGCTGAGTTTCTGGTAGTTTGTGTTTTCTCCTGGATAGTGGATCTGTAGATATGAACCCCCTTCTGGCTGAGGTTTGCCTATACCCAATCTTTCCCCTCAGTGAGTGCTGTAAGACTAGGCTGTTATACAGATTGACTACTTCACTGGCTGTGTCTTAAAAGAGTGAACCTTTTGTCTCTGCATGAGGATCTAACCTAACTGCATAAGCCCGTAAAATGGTTTCAGGGCTCTGCATCCCACCCTTACATAGGTTTGTAACTCTAAGTTGTATGTAGGAACCCATAGGAAAGAGGCAGGATTTCAGTCAGCTTATCTGCAGCATGTCCTATGATCTAGCATACGTGCACCTTTTGCCAGATAGACAAACACATAAATGGTACTGTGAATATAACAGAAGAAGTTCAACCCACAAACCACACGTGTCTTTTCTTTCAAGATGGACAAAAATACCAAAGACCTGTAAATAAACGGTTGGTCAAAATCATCTTGTTGTCTTCTTGCAGCTATTGGCTTATTCCAGATCGAAGATGCAGGATTGAACTCCTCAGCACAAAGAGGGCCTGGAAAATGGTCACTTGCTTCTCAGGAGAGGTCTTTACCTACAGATTATTATATCAGCAGCAGCAGCAATACCTCAATACAAGGATATCAATCTTTCAGTAAATAGAGAAGTCACTGGTGAATCAGTAGATAGCGAAGGATGCTGATATGAGATTCATATGCTTGACTGAAGATGGGGCAAATAGTTCCAGAAGGAAGGGTGAGGTTGGGTCATAGCTCTTACCCTTTGTCTCTCTAATCTATCCCCCTGGATAGAAAAAGGAGTTTGCACAAAAGGATTGACTGATGTCTTGTATATCATGGTCCTATTGGAGACAATTCAGTGCTTGAGCCTTGAGCTTGATGATAATATCACATTTCTTCAGTTTGGCCTTCAAGGTGTTCTTGAATCTCCTCTTTTGCCCACCTGTAGAGTGGTGACCATTGGCAAGTTGGGAATATAGGGCCTGTTTTGGGAGCTGGTTGTCAGGCATCCTTATGATGTCTTGTCCAATGGAGAAGGTGTTGTATAAAGATGGCTTTAATGCTAGTGATGTTTTCTTTCATAGTTTCAGTTTCAGGGTCGGAAGGGACCTAATAGATCTTCTAGCCCGACCCCCCGCCAGGGCGGGAGAACAACCCAAAAAAAACTCACCCTAAAAACAAAAACGGGACTCAAATGAGTCCAGCCAGGTAAGTATCCAGCCTCTTCTTAAAGATCCCCAGGGTAGGGGCCAGCACCACCTCCCTTGGAAGTTGGTTCCAGCTCCTAGCCGCCCTAACTGTGAAGTAGTTTTTCCGGATGTCCAATCTGTACCTGCTCTCCATCAACTTGTGCCCATTACTCCTTGTTATGCCAGCGGGGGCTAGGGGAAACAGCGTCTCCCCCAAACCCTTCTGGTTCCCCCTAGTGAGTTTATAGACGGTCACCAGGTCCCCCCTCAGCCTTCTCTTGTGGAGGCTGAATAGGTTCAAGTCCCGCAGTCTCTCACTGTAGGGTCTGCCCTGTTGTCCCCGGATCATGCAGGTGGCCCTCCTCTGGACCCTCTCCATGTTGTCCACATCCCTCCTGAAATGGGGCGCACAGAACTGGACACAATACTCCAGCTGCGGCCTGACCAGCGTCGCATAGAGGAGGAGGATCACCTCCCTGGCTCTACTCGAGATGCACCTGTGGATGCACGACAAGGTCCGGTTAGCCCTGCCAACCATGACCTCGCATTGTCGGCCCATGTTCATCTTGGAGTCAATAATGACACCAAGATCCCTTTCCGCCTCCGTGCTCTCAAGTAGGGAGCTCCCCATCGTATAAGTGTGCTGCTGGTTCCTACTACCCAAGTGCAGCACCCTGCACTTGTCCGTATTGAAACACATCCTGTTCCTGTTTGCCCACCCCTGTAACCTATCCAGATCCTTCTGCAATCTCTCTCTCCCTGCTAGCGTGCTCACCTCCCCCCAAATTTTGGTGTCATCAGCGAATTTAAACAGGTTGCTTTCCACCCCAACATCAAGATCGCTGATGAAGAAATTGAACAGCGCAGGCCCCAGGACCGAGCCCTGGGGGACTCCACTACCCACCTCCCCCCAAGTCGAGTATGATCCATCCACCACCACCCTCTGAGTGCGACCCTTCAGCCAATCTGCAATCCATCTGACCGTGTAGGCATCTATGCCACAGTCGCCTAGTTTACTAATTAGGATGGGGTGAGAGACAGTATCAAAGGCCTTGCTGAAGTCCAGAAAGACTACATCCACCGCGACACCTGCATCCATGGCCTTTGTGACCTGATCATAAAAGGCAATCAGGTTGGTCTGACATGATCTCCCCCTAATAAATCCATGCTGATTGCCCCTGAGCATCATTTCTGATGCCGGCCCATCACAAATGTACTCCTTGATGATCTTCTCAAAGAGCTTCCCCAGGATTGAGGTAAGACTGACGGGCCTATAATTGCCCGGGTCCTCCCTTTTCCCTTTTTTGAAGATGGGGACCACATTAGCTACCTTCCAATCGTCTGGCACCTGGCCTAAGCACCACGATTGCTCATAGAGCCGTGCCAGGGGCCCTGCAATAACCCCAGCCAGCTCCCTCAGCACCCTGGGGTGGAGAGCATCCGGACCCGCTGACTTGAACGCGTCCAGCCCCTCCAGAAGCTCTCTAACCCGGTCCTCCCCAACCTGAGGTCGGAAGGTGATCCCTTCGCGTCCGGCTTCTATCACAGCAGGGAAGTCCCGTTCCCTGCACAAGAAAACAGAGGTGAAGAATTGGTTAAAGAGATCCGCTTTATCCTCTGACGCAACCACCAGATTGCCCCGCATATCCTGCAGGGGCCCCATAAAGTTCTTGCACCATAAAGTTGGTGTTTGTTCTTATAGGTTGTTATATACTGGGGACAGCTAGTATATAACCTTCCTGATCATTGGTGTAATTATTCTTTGGACATCTGCATAGCATTCTTATCACTTATGTGCCCAGAAGAAGTCTCTTTTTGCACACATAGCGATGTGTGCACGGATAACTATGTGCGCATGCAGACCTGGGTGTGTCTAACTTTCTAGCACAGCACTTAAAGCACTCTGCCACAGGGCAGGCATTATCCAGGCCCTTCTCTCATGCTTCTTTGGAAGCTGGCCCCTTGGGCAGCCCCAAGGAAGGTATGTGGAAGATCTGTGTAGGCAGAAGGAAAAGATAGGAGCAAGACAGTCTGTGTAGCTCAGTGAGGTAGCTGCTGGGGCTGGTGAAAGTGGGGCCTTGTGTTTTATCCTGTTCCGTTACTTCCACTGAGGAAGAAGCTCTCCCACCTCTGCCCAGTATGCTGCCCTCTATCCACTTATTCTGGTGACTATAGTAGTGGCTCAGATTCAAAAAGGAGCATTGGGAAAGACCCTTGATAATGCCACCCTAGGTGGTGAGTGGCACTGACAGAGGCTGTGTTCTAAAATAAAAGAGGGACACTATCATCCATGCTCAAGACAACTTTAGCAACCAAGTCCAGGAGGGCACTGGGCTGTGAATCCCAGTGCCATGCAAGCAGCTGATGGGCACCTAAGCCCAGGAGAGCAGAGGGCATTCAAATACAATCCTCTCCAGCATTTCCTGTAGGCTGGCTAGAGGTCCACACTCACCTCTCTTCCAACTCAAGATCCTCCCCAC